GTGGTGGTTAAGAAAAGGTTAGGAAAACACCCGTCTAGGTATACTTAATATCTGTCTCAGTGCAGGGAGATGACCACCTGAGGTCCCTGCCAGCCTTACATTTCTATTATTTCTGTGATTGACTGTAATAAGCAGGTGAAACTGAAGAGCTCCTAAACGTGTACTGGAATCCACAGTAAAACTTGTCTCTAACTAGGCCAGTGCTAGTAACCTCTGCTGGATAGGTGTTTTCTGTTTGATTATCAAATGGTGTAACAGTAGTATGAGGAGTGGACGTGGAGCAAGAGGATCTGGTTTCCTGAGGAATCTAGTGTGGTATGGCACCCAGGGGCTCGGGAATGCAAGCTGAGTTCAGGCTGCTACTTCTCAAACTCCAGAACCACAGCATGTAACACTGGTCACACGGCATATTTAAGAATGAGCTCTTTCCCACAACTCTGCCTATTTTCTGCATTATTTATTGCGAATGAAACACTACGCAACAGAGATCCTGTGTCCAACTATAAACAAAAAAAACCCTGCACGTAACATAAACGTCAATTATTTAAAAAACATAACAAAAGGCGGAGAGAGAACTTCACAATATTTGCTTCCCTTGTAAGATGATGCACCTCCCTCCCCACTGGTTGCTGTTGTAACTTTCCATCTGCCTTTCTCTACCCACTGCCTGGTGCCATAATTCACTTTGGAGAGCAAAGTAATCCAGGAAACATTTAGTACAATGTGTTCCATGCTGAAGGAGTATATCCCAAAGGGGAGGTGCCTGAATAGTCCAGAGGGGAAGAGGGGAACTATGAGATAGCTATGTGGTTACAAATCCACCCCCGCCCTCCCTCCCCTCCGCAAACCCTCCACGGCAAATGTGTCCTGGGACAGTACATAAAGCAGCAAGTAACTCCTTGAAAGCCCCCATCTTCCCTCCTTGTCTCTGTGCTGCTCCCGACAGTATTTAAGTGTGGAAAAAGCCCATGTTTATCTGGGCTACAGGCACAGGCAGCAACCTGCCAGGCTAAGCTTTGTTTCCTTGCTCCTGTGGCACCAGCTGGCCATGACAACCCATGGCAGCCTCATGGCTCCACAAATAAATGGCCCCAAAGCAGCATGTATCTGAGTGAGGAAATGGAGAGTCGGGAGGAGGGGATGGGGGTGTCTATAAGAGAAAGGGGACCAAACATTAAATGGGAAAAGAAAGCAGAAACTGACAGAGGAAAATAGAGTGATAAGTTAATGGTGCCCGTCTGCCAATCTAGCAGAAAGCAGAGGCTACAAGAAACAACCCGTGCGTCAGGATCTTTTTAAAAACTACCGCACTTGCAAGGTGGCAGGTAGCTGAGTGCAAAGCCAAAGAGGAGACTTTTTGGTGTCAACAGTTATTTACAAACGCCTTTGACACAAAGAAGATTTGGCACAATGATCACAGTGATGCAAAAAGAGTGGCATGTGGTATCTTACATGAGGGAAGGCAGGTCGCTCTTTAAATGCCAGAGGTAATGCCCACGATTATCATTGCAAATTAAGACTGATCAAGTCACCTGTGCCTATATACCCTTACACAGATGCCAGTCCATTCTCTTAGCCTGGTCCTTATTACTCCAAGGCAGTAGAACACAGCTAATGTACTGTTGACCTAGACTTAGGTTCACTGCAGCTGTGCATCAGGGGCCTGATCCTGCTTCCACTGAAATCAATAAGATTTTTGCTGTTGATTTCAATGGGAGCAGAATCAGGCCCTGCGCAGAAATTACAGGGGCACGTTCAGATTACTGGGCTGCCACTTCCATTAATCCTAATAATGCCAGCACTAATGAATCTAGAGCGGAGATTCGGATTTTGATAACCTTTTGCTCCATTCAGTCAGAAGAGTTGATGGGAAACATTTCTCATTATTTCCCACGTCTTTTAATTTTCATGAGGTCATTGGAGCCCTGATATCCCATTTGCACAGCCTGCAACGTGTGCAGAACAACCCTGAGAAGACAGCGGAGACCTACAGGCCAGATGAAAGGCATATCGTGATCAGTGTTGTATGCAATTGTCATTGAGATCAATCAATAGTTTTCACTGACAATAGAAAGGTGCAGGTGAATTTAATGTTCATGAAAAGGGCTGAGTGAACAACACAGCAAACTTGTCCTCAATGCATATAGCATTCACAGCAGCCGGGCAAGCGTCCTCCTTTCAGAGCCCTGCCAATGTATCTCAACCCTGTCTACATATCTTAGGTGACTATAAAGTGCCTATTGCTGTGTTATTTAAACACTGAAATATTGTTTAGCATTTACACAGCACTTTTGTGATATTGTTCAAGTACTGTACAAAAATTCTGTTTTCTAAGCTCATGACTATGCCCATATGAGTACCCATTAAAGAAGAAAAGGAGTACTTTTGGCACCTTAGAGACTAACCAATTTATTTGAGCATGAGCTTTCGTGAGCCACAGCTCACTTCATCAGATGTGTACCGTGGAAACTGTACACAGGCAGTACACAGGCAGTTTCCACGGTACACATCTGATGAAGTGAGCTGTGGCTCACGAAAGCTCATGCTCAAATAAATTGGTTAGTCTCTAAGGTGCCACAAGTACTCCTTTTCTTTTTGCGAATACAGACTAACACGGCTGTTCCTCTGAAACCTGTCATTAAAGAAGAACTAACTAACATTAGCAAATTAACTGTGAGAAGCAGAATGGGCCAATGGATAGGTTACTGAACTGAAGCTCAGGAGGCCTGCATTTGGTTCCTATCTCTAGCACTGACCTCCTGTATGACCTCAAGCAAGTCACCTCAGCTTGCTATGCTTCAGTTCTCCTATCTCTAAAGAGTGGATAATGACACTTACCTTTCTTTATTAAACACTTAGAAATCTATGGACGAAAAGCGCTAGGTACAATTAATTCGGTCTCACAGTGTCTTTGCCGGATAGAAGGCAAAGATCATTGTCTCCATTTTCCAGATGGGGAAACTGAGGCACAGAGCGGCAAAGTGACTTGTCCAAAGCCACTCACCAAGTTGGCAGCAGAGCCATTATTAGAATTCTGGACTCTCTGACTTCTAGGCCTCTGCTCATTCCTTCAGACCATGCTGAAGGGGCCATTGCTGACATCTTCCACTCCTTCTATTCTTACCACATCACCCAGTCCCCTCCCCTCTAGCCACTAGATGGTATTTCCTGCATCATTTTTATTTTTTCTGGACAGCCTTTTCTTCATAATCATCATCAGACAGTCTACATACCTAGCTCTTGCATTAAAATATGATCTTCATGCACAATGCCCACCTGTTTGTACTGTTTTCACAGCTGCTGCCTCAGACCTCCAGGGAGATCAAGAACTTAACCACCACTAGGCCTTACCTCTAGAGTTAGTCCCAATTTTCCCTGAGGACTATTATATGTTGATCTCTTCTCTACCTAATATTCTACCACTACTTAGTTTATTATTCCCCTTTCACTCTACGCAGTTGCACCTGGCGGTGAAACCCAAGGTGAACACGAGTTCTACAGTACATTAGCCAGAACAAAGCAAATAATGTCCATCTAGTACTTCATCTGATTAATTTAACATATTTTTATTTGGAGAAAATATATGAGCAGATTGTGATTTCCTCTGATTTATTCAATATTTGAATTTTTTCACATTTTTTACTCTATGGATTTGATTTCCAGTATTCACATTTTGAGCTGTGTCACTCAGTTGTGAGCAGCCAGATACATCACATGGTAATGTTTCTGTTCCTCGATTGGCTGAGCACATAAGAACATCTGGCTCAAGTACTTGCATGGGTTAATTTAAAATTCTATTTCTACAAACATTGGCATTTGCCACTTGAAATCAAAGATGAATGCAAGAGGGATGTGTGCATGAACAGAGTGAAAAGGCCAAGTAGCACTCACCAGATATTATGGTAGCTATCAGCAGGCAGGTAAGGATTCAGCCTAAAAGCAAAGGCCCTTTGCTTCTGGGGAGTGCCCCAACATAATATTCACAACCCTCACCATAGCCCCTGTGTTTTGATAAGGGTTTCCCATTAGGTACAATTTAGCCCAGTACACCTGCTATTGCTGTCTTTACAGCCACAAGGCAGAAAGGAGTGCTTTCTAAGGATTATTTGTTTTCATCACTAGCCTAAACACACTACATCAATCTTACACACAATAACACACTACTATTTTCCTATTCTGTTAAGGCATTTCCTACTACTTTTTTAACACCTAAAATTTACAGCATCTTTCCTTTTCATGTGCTTGCTTCCCCCCTGATTTATTCCTGTTTTATACCTATGGAATGCCACTGAAATCAAAACTGGTGTAAAGCTGGAGTAGCACTGTTGGTTTATCAGGCCCTGCATATTTGCAGTTATGGGTCTGGTTCTTCTTTCCATGAACACTGGTGTAAATCACAAAAAGCTGTAGTGACATCAGTGACAGGAGTGTAAAACTGGTGTAAGTGAGAGGAGAATAAAACCCCAATATGGTTTAAAGTGCCAAAGTGAAATCCCTTGAGGTCTTCTCTTATTCCTTGGAATAGGTAGAACATGGGCTGCGGATAGACAGGACAAGCTTTCATCCACACCGTTTCCCCTCCATACCAGTATGCTTCAACCCTGATCCTGGTTAAGGGTGGCGGAGTGGCAGGTGGGCACCTCTCCATGTGGGAAAGGAATTTAATCTCCAAGCAAAGTAATTTTTGCCTTCTTTTCCAAGAGTACCAACAAGTGTGCCAACTGCAATGGTGATTTTTTCCCCCAACATGGATGCCAATTAACTATGAAACGGTCTAGTCAGAGCCTAGATACTACAGTGATCAGTACTGTATACAGGTAGATAGGTTAGACAGACAGACCTATCAAATAGTAAGGAATTTTTGTCACCGCCATCTTGGGTCAGATTCAAATCAGTGACATAACAATGACAGGCTACATCATCCATTATTAACCCAATCCCCTTCCCCCCACATGCCCATCATCTTAATTTTCAAAGGAAAAACTGGCAGTCACATTTACCTGTAAATTAGAACTTCATCATCCGAGCAGTTATATTGCAGCTGATACATTTTAACCCTAGGGGCTGACTTGCTCACCATCCACTTGACCAAAGCTGAGGTAGTTGTCACCTCTGACACCAGGACAGCCCTTTCAGGTGGACCTTTCGTCTCCCCTCGATTGGACTTGCTGGAGCTAGTGATGTCAGAAAGCCTGGATTTGGGTGGGGCGGCTCGGCCTGTACTGTTGCTGAGGTGTGGAAGCTGCACAATTGAGAGCTCAATGGTCGCGGTTGATTCTCCTGCAGCATTGGCTGCGATGCACGTGAAAGTTCCATAATCCTTGGATGTAGTGATAACGATATCTAAAGTACCATTATCGTAGACTGCTGTCCTCGAAGAATTCCCAATGAGTCGGTCATCTGGAGCCACCCAGTGAATGACTGGGGATGGGTCCCCAATGGCTTTACACTTCAATGTGGCAGTTTGCCCTTCTAAAACCAGTAACTTGTGAGTATGCTGGGTAATGAGAGGTGGCTCACAAACAAATTCCTCTTCCCGTACATGCCAAAAGTATCTTCCCTTTAGATTTGGAGGGGAAGCACAAGTTTCCATATCATCATCTCTGTCAAGCCGCCTTAACCACAACAGCTCACAGTTACAATGCAGGGGGTTGCCTCCAAAGCTAAGAGACAGAGGTGGAGAAAATGGAGTTGCTTCTAATGGAGATATTTGGGACCTGGCAAATATGGGATCTGGGGGGAGCTTTTGAAGTCTGTTAGAGGTTAGATCCAATCTGGCCAATTTCTGAAGATCTGCAAACGTCCCCTCTGTAATATAATCTATCAGGTTATGATCCAAGCTAATCTGGTGCAGGTTTACCATCTTCCTTATAGATTCCCAGGGTATGCCTTGGAGGTTATTGTAGGAAAGATCCAAATCTTCCAACGTCACCAGAAAATCCTCAAAGGCTTCGTCCGAGATGCTGCTCAGCTGGTTGTTATTTATTATCAAGTGCTGAAGGTTAATTAAGCCTCTCAAAATATCCTCTCCAATGTTGGGCAGCCTATTGCTGTCCAAATGCAAAGACCGAAGGCTTTCTAGATCAGCGAAGGAGTAGGGCTGAATGTAACTGATGGTATTCCTGGACAAAGTGAGGTCAACAAGGCCAGACATATTGGCAAAGTCCTGTCGGTTGATGTTAACAATGAAGTTACCCCCAAGTCGGAGTTCAACAGTCCTTCGGTCTATGTCTAATGGTACAAAAAGGAGGCCCTTGGAGGGACACAGAGTACCCAGTGACTCCGACAGGTTCTGACACACACAGTATTTGGGACAAGCATTGACCGCAACTGCCATTCCAAACACCAGGATGCTGCAGAGCAATTTTTCCATGGTAAATCACGCAGCAGTACCTGCAAGAAAGGAAGAATTACAGTTGAGTCAGCAGCTTTTTCACTCATGCTTTTTGTCTAATATCTTCCCCAAAGAATCAGCTCAAGTGCAACTTCTCCCAGTCATGTGGGAGAAGCTGGGACTGGACAACAGGGGATGGATCACTCGAAACTGCCCTGTTCTGTTCATTGCCTCTTAATCATCTGACAATGGTAACTATCAGAAGACAGACTACTGGGCTAGATGGACCATTAATTTGACCCAGAATGGCTATTCCTATCTTTGAGGCATCCATTCTTCCCAACAACAAGTGCTAATTCTGTGGTTAGAGCAGCAATTTCTCCCTCTATAAGACACTTGTTTTTTTTCCAGATTATGATGGTGGCATTTTGAATCGGAGTAGAATAGAAGTTATTATCCAAAATGACCATTCATATTTACAGACATAATGGTTTGTCTGCTCATGAGTTTTGTTAACTCACTGCTCTTTAGCTATATGGTAACATAACAGGGTTTACAGTTAAATATTAGGTAGCTGGATGAGGACATAGCCTATCTTTGGGCAGTGCACTTACTTAAAATCAGCGTGACTTCAGTGGGAATTATGCATACTTCTCTGAGGGCAGAAGGAGCCCGTGAGTAATTACACATCCCTGCGCAATAATGTGGAGTTAAACTTAGGGTCAAAAGTTCCAATTTAGAGGATAAAAATAGCCACATATTTTCCCATCAGTTACATGATAATTAAAGTGTAATTGTCTAGCCAGTTCATCCCCTCCCATGACTAAACCCACTGGAGGCAGCTCAGGGAGAGGAAGTCTCCTGGAAAACTCACTGCATGGAAATTCAGTTCAGCTTCACCATGCCATCTCACCAGGAGGTCACCCCCATGGAAAATGCTGCAGAGCCCAGCGTAGCAGATCCCCAGGCATCTGTAGGACATCTATGCTGCTCTGGCCCCTGGCAAACTTCCCATTACCCTGACTTCCTTGCAGTTCAGACCCTCTCGGGTTGGGATTGCCCACTGGGTCTGAATGGAATGATTTGCATCCTCCCTGACCTGCCCACTTCCCCTTGGCCAGCCAGTCTCCACCCCCTTCCCCGTGCAAATTCTAGACCCACAGAAAGGTCTTTGTGGGGACTTGAAGAAGGGCAGCGGTGCTGTGGAGGCAGTTGAGTGCCCTTCCATGCAGGAAATGAGAGAACCGCATGGATAGATTCCACTCCACATGCAGAACTTGTTGGGGGAATCTGAGCCCTGGTAATTAACATGGTCAAAGGTTACAATGTAAGTAAAAACAGGATCTGAGACATCTGTGCCTTGAAATTTAAAGTGCTATTAGAGTATCTAAATTATACAGTAGCTAGAACTGTGATTTCTGTTCTAAAACACATCATGGACTCATTCCGACTTCCAGCGTAGATCTAATCTCTTTCTCTCGTCTCCTGTCCCCTGCCCTCTTTTCCCATTCATATTCTAGAACCATCTTCCTTTCTATCCCTTCAGTCTGTTGATGTCAGTATGTGCTCCCCTGCATCTTCTGTTGTCCCTAACATCCTTCTTGTATCTCCCTGCCTCATCGCTTCCATCTGTTTCTCAAATCTCATGTGCAAACATATCTTGTCATCTTGATCTGCTAGGAGCATTAATTCAAAGAACAAACAAAACACTTAGAGATCGATTCAGAGGGCTAGATCGTGCCTGGAACCACATGCCTCTGCAGGGAAGTAAAAACACCCCCAGGTCCCTGCATGGGCTATCTGACTCTTGGGTCTGGGTGCACAGGATATATGCCTGCTTACTTTCCTCATTGCCCCCTCACCCCATAGGCAGGGAGGGATAAGAAATGAGCAGTCCTCCCTCTGCCCCACAGACAAGGGGGAAGATGGGAGGGAACTATTTCTTTGAGAGGTGTCCATAAACTATGAAGTCACCCAGGGTTAACTTCTAGGGAGGTAAAGTTTACACACCTGTCCCCTGCTTAGGGCTATGCCTAAAAGCACAAGACAACCCTAAATCACTAAGGAGAGGAGTTCACCTCCATTTGACCTTCATCACCTCTACTACATAACCTCACACCACTATTTGTGACCCTAGGGGCATGTAGCACCCCTTCCTGATCACACAGATGCCTCATGCTTTCAGTGCCCTTTAGTAGCATCCTTTGAAAAGGAAACCTTATAGAATAAGAAAGAAGACACTCATGCTATATTGGTTCCTTTTACAGACCCACGTTTCTAAGGTGGCTTCATCTGATTTAATGAGGAGACATCTCAGAGGTTTGCTTTTGGTAAGTGATTGAAGTATTTATCACCACCCCTGCAGCTCATCATCTTTTATACTGAGTAACATCAAGCCCTGTGTTACATTGTCTGCTTTGAAGGAAGTAGTAAACAAGCTTTAACCACTGAGGGAAGGGTCCACTCTGAAACATTTACCTATAATAATTCTGACCCTGCATATTTGTAGGTGGTAAATAAATCATCTGGGTCTAAAAATGGCTTGGAGAGATGTTACCACTGCATACACGGTGATTTCACACAGCACCCCACAAAGAGCTGTAGTGATTAGCATTGGGATGCCATTCGCCCCTGAGAAACCATCTGACACCAGGAACACTTTTCAATAAATACAGCTAACTATCCATTTATATATACTTCATCCCACAGTTGAAAAGACCATTGTCCACCTATTATATCATAATGTAAAGAAGAGATCCAGGTTGGTTAATAATCCTCTGGCACTGGAACCAATGCCTGTCACATCAATGAATGTTTTCCAGTTCTTGCTCTGAGAAACAGCTCCTGCTCCCATTACAGTCAATGAGAATTGGGTCCCAGAGCCATTTGTTATTGTAGGGCTGCTTTCATCATTTGTATAACATGACTCAAATCCTGACCACTTGGGTGCTAGAGCACTGGGAGGTGTTGCCAAATTATTAACTGGGTTAAGTACATTCTGACTATCCTGTATCTATGCAGATTTTACTCCACTCTCATCACCATGGTATCTGAATACCGGAGTTCCTCCTTAAGTTGTTCCTGCAGCTTCAGCTGGGTACAGATTCTTCTGCCCTAAATTGCAATACAGTGTTCATGTGCACCGATGTTGTACTCTGCCCAGAAGTGGTTGCATTTCACTAGTAGGAAAAATATTTCTGGTATACTCCCTAATACAGTATGTAAATCAGTAGAGAAAGAAAGGAGCTATATAACTGTAAAGTATCCCACATGCTGAGCTGTACACCGTAGGGAATTTTTTTTGAGGGGTGGGGAAGGGGGCATTGGGATTTTTTTCTTTAATGACGGGGTTGATCAGCAATGTTGGGATATTAGCATTTATGTAATATTATTTTATGGGGGGGGGAAGGATTGAAGCATCAGTAACTGCTGAGTTCTACAAACAAATATGACTGAGGGTTTTTTTTTTTTTTAAAAAGGAATCAATTAGTGTCATTTTGCCTTATATATTAAATAAGGAACTAATGGTTAAAATATGTTTGTTAATACTTAGCAAGTTTATTATTGACGCAAATCTATGGCATAGTTCACAAAGCTCTTTAAATATCCTTTAAATTATCATCAATTGCTAGTTTTCTACAGACAATGGGCTTTTTTCAGAGTAGCAGCCGTGTTCATCTGTATTCGCAAAAAGAAAAGGAGTACTTGTGGCACCTTAGAGACTAACCAATTTATTTGAGCATAAGCTTTCGTGAGCTACAGCTCACTTCATCGGATGCAACATGCTCATGAAAGCTTATGCTCAAATAAATTGGTTAGTCTCTAAAGTGCCACAAGTACTCCTTTTCTTAATGGGCTTTTTGAATCTTAATTATAATCATGCTGTGAGACCTTACTTTTGTATATCTCCCTACAGCTGAAACAACAAACAAAAAGCAACTTAAAAACAATTTTGGGGAAAGATCAATACAGTTAATTACTAATAAGCCCTTCCCCAGCTTCTCTCTTCCCCCACATCTCCAATCCCCAAACATATATTTGGGAATATAAATGCACACTTAGGGTATGTCTACACTACGAAATTAGGTCGAATTTATAGAAGTCGTTTTTTTAGAAATCGGTTTTATATATTCGAGTGTGTTTGTCCCCACAGAAAATGCTCTAAGTGTATTAACTCGGCGGAGTGCTTCCACAGTACCGAGGCAAGCGTCTACTTCCGGAGTGTTGCACTGTGGGTAGCTATCCCACAGTTCCCGCAGTCTCCGCTGCCCATTGGAATTCTGGGTTGAGATCCCAATGCCTGATGGGGCTAAAACTTTGTTGCGGGTGGTTCTGGGTATATATCGTCAGGCCCCCATTCCCTCCCTCCCTCCGTGAAAGCAAGGGCAGACAATCGTTTCGTGCCTTTTTTCCCTGAGTTACCTGTGCAGATGCCATACCACGGCAAGCACGGAGCCCGCTCAGCTCACTGTCACTGTATGTCTCCTGGGTACTGGCAGACGCAGTACTGCATTGCTACAGAGCAACAGCAACCCATTGCCTTGTGGCAGCAGACGGTGCAATAGGACTGGTAGCCATCATCGTCATGTCCGAGGTGTTCCTGGTCGCCTGTGTGAGGTCGATCAGGAGCGCCTGGGCAGACATGGGCGCAGGGACTAAATTTGGAGTGACTTGATCAAGTCATTCTCTTTAGTCCTGCAGTCAGTCCTATTGAACCATCTTATGGTGAGCAAGTAGGTGATACGGATTGCTAGCAGTCCTATTGCATCATCTTCTGCCAGGCAGGCAAGAGATGAGGATGGCTAGCAGTCCTATTGTACCATCTTCTGCCGAGCAGCCATGAGATGTGGATGGCATGCAGTCCTTCTGCACCGTCTGCTGCCAGCCAAAGATGTAAAAGTGGATCAAAACAAGAAATAAACCAGATTTGTTTTGTACTCATTTGCAACCCTCTCCCCCCTCCCCACCCGTCTAGGGGACTCATTCCTCTAGGTCACACTGCAGTCACTCACAGAGAAGGTGCAGCGAGGTAAATCTAGCCATATATCAATCAGAGGCC